TTTCCCAGGGAATTGAAAGTCGCCGGAAATCGAGAATTATAAATTATGCTCGAAGATATTCACGGGCGAACGGTCCCGGGGCTGGAAGAAGGATGACCGATAAGGGAGAAAAGCGATCTCCATGTCGACCCTGCCGCGTAAAAATAATATCCACCTCTCCGATGGAACGTGGCGAATGTTCTGTCGAAGATGATCGTCGAGGCGACAATCGGAGAACGCTGGAAGTAACGTGTACCACTTCTTTTCAACCGGCGCGTTGCATAAGATAAGGAATGGCGAACGCGAAGATGAACGGGCTCACCGGAGTGGAAAAGTATGGCAGCTGGACTTTCCGCGAGTCTTCCCATCGGTGCTCCTTTCGCCTGTCGCGTCCCGCTCCGGCCATGCGCTTCGCGAGCGTGAAGGCGGCTCGAGTGGCCATCTTGTCGCGAGACGCGAGGCTGAAATTCAGCCGTGATTCAGCGCTGCGTCGCGTTGCGTCGCGTTGCGTCGGCTCGGATCGATCGCAATTTTTTACGCATTATTCGAAAGTCTTCCCCCGTCGGCAAAGAATGCTTCCCCGTTCGGATTCTCTCCGCCGCGTCGCGCTACGCCGAACAATGCCGATCCGGGGTCGTCGGTCGATCCAACCTTCGACGCTTGCACGAGTACGTATCGATGCCCGACACAATTGATTCCTCCGCTTTATTCGTTACAACGGCTCTTTCCGTGTATTCAATTTAAGAACGCAGCAAACAAGATAAATATACGGGCGGAGGCAGGAGCGCGCACGTTCGTTTGCTTTCGCGTCGTCGTCGTCGTCGTCGTCGTACGAAGGGATCCGTTCCGGACCGTTCGAACGATCAATCCAGCCAGTCTCCCCGGGAAGCGGAACATTTTAAAATTCTTGCAGCCGTTCTTGCAGCTAATGAGCCACGTCGTGTTTTCGTAGCTATCCACGTTCAACTTTCGAAACAACGGGCGCGCTTCGGGAACGAATACAGGGAGAAGGATGGGAACGCCGGCGGCGGGGAACGCTCGATTTCATGAATTTTCAAGGAATCACGACACATACGTTACCCGTCTACGGCGGCGCTAATCCATGGGAATTCAATGCCCGCGATAAACGAGACACACGCGTTTCCGGCCGGGCGTGTGTAGGTTTAGGCGAGCAATATCTATTCGGCGCGCTTCGAAAGTTGTCCGTTCGATTCTCTCCCTGCGATCGGCGAAACTTTCTATCCGCCGCGGAGCCCGGCTCGATTGGCCTCGACCACTCGTCCAACTTTCCGCGGAGTTCGATTGGTCGCTACATTATTGAGGCTCGATTCATGATTTCTTTAGAGGACCGGGGAAACCGCATGTCCGCGGAAGTAATCTCCCTAGAGCGAAGTGGGCTCTCTCACCGGAAGGTTCCTTCTTTCTCGTTTCGCCTTGTTTCGTCGGAGGAAACTCCGTTCGTTGTGTCGGCTCGGCAAAGTGCGTCTCCATTACCTGCTCCGGAAACTGTGCCCCGAATAGGGGTAAGTTACGCCGGCGATACATTATTCGCCGCGCGATAAATTATTCTCGGGGCTGTCAGCCTCGAGGAAAAACTGGTGCGGCGCTGCGCCGCGCGGCATGTCGCGTGCGACGACGATGTTGTTAAACCGCGGTAAATTTCGTCCGAGAACGAATCCCTATTTTCGATTCGATCTCTCTATCTCTCTCTCTCTCTTTCTCTTTCTCGTCCACTCTCGCTCTTATTCCCGTTTCGAAAGTATTTCCCGGAGTATAAAATAGAATCTTACCGGGCATGCGCCGATTGAATTTTGACGTCGAACCACGGCGAGAAGCCTTTTCAATTTTCCAAAGTACACTATATTCGAAGGAAACTACGTGGAATCTTTGCGCCGCGACGAGCTGGAGGAACTAGAATAGAACCAATTCGTAAATACGAGTAGCGAAGTAGGGCTGAAGTACAATACGAAGAGATACGAAGAAATACGAAGCGCGGAACGACGAGTTTCCTTTAATTTTGTCGTTAGCCGCGCTTCGAGGGAACACGATAAGCTTTCGCGACGCAAAGAGGCGCGCCGGGATAGGCGAATATGCAATTTTCGCGAAAAATTCGCGACGAGCGTTCGCGTCCGCGTCCTCCCTGGCCTGTCTGCTCGCCGAGGGCAAAGCCGACAAAGTAATCGGCCCGGCGGCAACTGTTTGATGCCGGACTTAACCCGGCCGAACGGGGTTCCCCCCTTTTTCCGTCGTCCGAGTCTCAAAGTAATTGTAGGTAAGAAGCTTATACGGAAACACGCTCGACGGCGAGGAACTTTTTAGCAACGTACCATCGTCGGAAGGCATCATTCTCGTTTAGGGGTTCACGGCAATCGATCTCCGCGCGACGGAGCGAATGCATAATCTTTCATAAGCCTCTTAAACGTCGCATCGCGTGGATTCCCGTGGCTTGCGCGCGGCTCCGTATCCGTTTGAGTGCGAGTTCGATGCTCGCCCATCGAAATCGTCGCGAAACTACACGCGAGACCGTACGAGCATCGTTGCCTCCGAAAAGTTTCCGACAACTTTAACGTTTCCGCAGTCGGCGCGCAACTTTGAATCCTCGCTCGGTTCGATGCAAGCGAATTCTAAAGTTCGATGCTCGATATTAAATTCCGCGTAATTTACGATCAATCGCGATAGAATTCACGGCGAGAAAACAATCCTGCGCGAACGGTTGAAGGAGAATTAGCAGGATTCCCCGGGAATCGGTAGGATCGAGTTTCAGGTACGTATCGAAGACGATGTGGGCCGAGGCAGATAGTTCGACGAACGGGAAACGGGGTTGAATGGAACGCTGGATAAGACGAAATTAATTTCTCCGTAATCGGCGATTAGACTATGGTTCCCGGGGCGTTGCAGGGGAGACGGGCAGCGTACCCTGTCAAAATCTAAACCAAATCCTAATCGGATTAACGTTCACCGACTCGACGCCTCAGCAGCTTTCTCTCGCAAGTTTGCAGCGTGGCTCGACCTTCTCCGGGTGGCGGCGGAGGCGTCTCTAGTTCCGGCGAAGAACCCCCGGGATTTCGCGAGAAACTCACGGGTTTCAATATGCACGGGAAGAACAAACACGCCGGGTATTAACTTTCAAGAATAACTTGGCGAACGGCAGCGCGAAGCTGCTTTATTCCGCGGATATCGCGAAACATCTCTAGACTCTGCAGTCGTCGCGGATAAAATTATCAAATTTTCGTCGCGACA